TCGTGAGTCGGACATCGATCGAGCTACCACTGCTGCTATAGTGGGAAGCTTTCACAGAATATCATTATATCCAGTGGACCACATACACTTATCATATACTATCTTTCCTGCATGGAAAAGGTCCCGCAACTACGTCGGATATCGACTAAGCTGTCACTACCGCTCCGGGTAGTTACCTAAATACAAAAAGTCGTACATGCGATTACTCAACTCATGTATGCATATAAACTACTGTTTGTATCCCATCCCCTTCTTTAGGGCCCATAACTGAGTCAGACATCGACCGGGCTATAACTGCGGAGGGTGCGGTGGTAGCCTTCAATGCGCCTTGTCCTGCGGCTCTAGAGCGAATGGCCGAGAAGGCCGATGTACATATAATCAAATCCAAGGTATGCTGTGTTATAGTTCTTTTTTGTTGTTGTATGTTTAACCGTTCTAATTATAGATATGTCGTTATGTATGAGTTTATTATCAGATCCAAGGTATGCTGTGTTATAGTTCTTTTTTGTAGTTGTATATTTAATCGTTCACTTTTTCAGGTATGTCGTTATGCATGTGTATATTATCAAATCCAAGGCATGCAATGTTATAGTTCTTTTTGTTATTGTATATTTAACTGTCTAATTTCAGCTATGTCGTTATGCATGTGTATATCATCAAATCTATGGCATGCTGTGTTGTAGTCCTTTTGTTGTTGTATATTTAACCGTCTAATTTCATGTATGCCTGTATACGTGTGTACACATCATCAAATCCAAGGTATGCTGTGTTGTGGTCCTTTTTATGGTCTATATATGGTGTGTACATATCACCAAATCCAAGGTATTCTAAATTAGAATGTTTTCGATATTTATTTAGCTGTCCGATTTCATGCGTGTCTGCATGTGTGTCTACATATTATCAAATTCACCCTATACACTGTCGGATTGGTTTGTATTGTATATTTGTTTGTTTGATTTGATTACATATATATATATATATACATTACGACCTCTCTGATTACAATATCCCTTCTTGTTCACGTAAGGTTATATACCACATCCTGGACGAAGTCAAGGAGCAGCTTTCACAAAGGCTGCCTAAGCTCAAGACGAGGGAAGTGGACGGAGCTGCTATCGTTAACGAGGTTTTCCCCCTGAGGTATTCGTTTTTGACGTGTAGATATGACGCTTGTCTTTGGATATTGTGTTATATGTACATCATTCTGTGCATTCGCTCACATCTATATACGAGTCTATATACAGGCATGGATTTACATATGTATACACCAGTATATATATATATATATATATATATATATATGCGTATATGTGCACACGCGCTGTTTAAATTTATGTGTGGCTATGTAGGTTCGAGTGATGGCAGATCTGTTGGTCATTTAATATGTATAGATTATTCCATCCGAGCGCTGCAATTGGGTCGGTCCGTGCATATAATATCATACATCTAAGCGCGCGTCCCATATGATATCCTCTATAGCTATAACTTCTGCCATGTCTACAGTATGTACAAAGATGTGGCTTGGTTGTCATAGAATCTGTCTGCACTCGTGTGTACCACATTAGAAATGTGATATTCCACAAACTCTCCTCTGCTCCCCTTTTCAAACATTGAGCTTGAACCGTATTCAGATTTCCGCCATGAGTCTGAATCTGGATCCATTTCTCTGTCATGCTATGCGATAGTCGCCTTCCACTGATGCTCGCCCATATTCTTGGTTCATCGGCTACCCACAACGGGGTATAGGGAGGAATGGCACTAATACATTTGTTCCGTTGTTATTCCCTATGAGTATAGAGATAGGAATAAGTCTGTGGTCGCGGGCTGCCGGGTCACAGAGGGGCAGATAAAAAAGAAGTCACTATACAGAGTTCGTAGAGGGAACCAGACTCTGTGGGATGGTCAGGATGCAGAGGAGCTGCGTCATCACAAGGACGTCGTCCCATTGGTCAAGAATGTAAGCAAAACATAAGCCTACTACAGCTGTTAGCATGTGCAGTATTCACGTGTCTACATGCTGAACTGCTGTGTTTATGTGTCTTTGAATGTGTACATGGACGTAAAAAATGTAAGCAAAACATAAGCCTACTACAGCTGTTAGCATATGCAGTATTCACGTGTCTACATGCTGTACTGCTGTGTTTATGTGTCTTTGAATGTGTACATGGACTTAGAGAATGTAAGCAAAACATAGGCCTACTACTGCTGTTAGCATGTGTAGTGTTCACGTGTCTACATGCTGAACTGCTGTGTTTATGTGTCTTTGAATGTGTCCATGGACTTAAAGAATGTAAGCAAAACATAAGCCTACTACAGCTGTCTGCCTGTGCAGTTTTCACGTGCTTACATGCTGAACTGCTGTGTTTATGTGTCTTCGAATGTGTACACGGGCTTTCTGATCTTTGTTTGGGTGACCGAGTGAGCCGATGTTCCGACCGGATACAATCGACGATTTTTTTTATGGTTACAGTGCCGATAAACGGAAGCATACGGATTTTGCATTGCATTTAAATCACATTGCAATACAATATGTGTGCACTTAACAGGTTACTTATCTTTGAGATACACTATGGCTTATACACGCATATACAATGACAACGTCAAGATTGCCGCAGATTGTGCATCATTGTTTTGGGCTCACGCAACCCAGAGTTTTGTTTGGAAACTCAACCCATACATTTAAAGCTATTCCCTGGTGCTGGAGCCTTACCAGTGCCGACATATGTAACTAGTTAGTATCTCACACTGTTCTTCTCTCGTCATATATTATAGGGGCAAGACTGTGGTATCCGGCTTGATGGCTTCGGCGAGTATGAGGTCGGAGATATCATCGAAACTTATCATGTAGTGTATGTGGACGAGACGTTCGATCCAGGAGACGTATAAATAAAGAGTTATAACACAGTGTATTCTGGAGGCATATCACGATCCATCGTCTGACAGTTTAATCGAGCAATTGGTGTACTTCTGAACAATACCAGGGGCAAATACAGTCGACTTTTCATTCAATAAACAGTCCCTACGCTTCGTAGCGGGTGGTCCGGCACAGCACAGCAAACTTGGTGACTGCGACTGTAGGGAAACCCTGTCAGATACAGATACAGTTATTTGCTCAATTTGTGTTAAATTGCTGGAGACTTAGTTATATTCTGTGTTTTTTTAAAGGTACCTCCGTAGGTACTATACACTCTAACCCACGAGATAAAAAGATTCTTGCATGTTGAAAATAGTGATACATAGTTCTATACACTCCAGCTCACGAGATACATGAACTGTTTCAGTGTTTCTTCGACGTTCCAAACAGTGTTATTTTTTTAAAATTGTAAGAGTTTCGGGACTCCTAATGAATTTTCGAGACTCTTCGGTACCCTGAATTTTGGCGGGTCCCGAATGATGAGTCATGATTCCGGAAATTCATATTGGGTTCCTATTTCAGGGCCCAAACCAGGGTTAATCGTATATAACCAGGCCCTGATGATTTTTGAGTGTCATTCTACATGGGTCATACTTAAAATCGTCTATGTATATTCACGAATAGAGCAAAGTGTCTACGAATATACATAGACGATGACGGCATGAGAAAGTTCGAGAACATCGTAGCAAAGGGGTTTCTAGGCCCGTGCCTTTCCTTCTCACTACGAGTGTTATAGTTATAGATAATAGCCTAGGATGTTAGTAGTACAAGTTCGTTCGGGAATAGATAGAGATAGGTCCCAGCGGACTATAAATGCAGTCCACGTCCAGCGTTAGAGTTCATACTTTCACTAAGAACATAAGGAATACAAGGACGAAGAGGACTAAAGACTGCTTATATCGTAAACCTAAGAATAAAGCTACTACTACTGAATTTGGGATTTTGGGATTTTTGGCGCCAAAACTGTGATAATCATTTTTTGGGACGATTTTGGGATTTGGAGAATAAGGATCGAACTATGGGAAATTCGAGGGACCTTATAATGTAAGCTGCTGAAAGGGCCACTAACATGGTATTGACGTTGATCGTAGGACGGCGCTCTCTCCCAGCGAAAAGGAAGCGTGATAACGGCTGTAACTTTGGTAGGACCAGGAACCCCGTTATCGGTACGACTTTGTCGTACAGTACCAGGCTTAAAAGGATTTGGGCTCAAAAGACGTGCGGACACGCTAACGTGGGATTCATCCCAGTGGATCGAACAGCGTTTGGAGCGGGTTATTAAGTAGAAACTCACTTTGTGGGAAAAGTGAGGGCCTTGTTTTTTTTTAAAGCCTAGGGTTGCTTGCGGCTCCGCTTTCTAACCTTCGCAAACGTTAGGGCCTCTGAGTTTGTAATGTCTCGAACACGATGGGGTACGCCCAAGCTGCCACAGCTGAGGATCACTAAGAGAGCATAAATTAAGATATTTCGGGCCAGGGACACAGTACGCCAAACCAGCCGGCCCAATCGGCTGAGCAGGTGTGGGTTCATAACATGGAGACCGAGTTGGTACAAATAAGGGAGAATTTTGCCGGCCTGGCTCAATATCAACAACAAGCTGCTAACTTACAGCAACAGGTGGAGGGTAACAACATGGCACAATATCAACAACAGATTGCTGAGCTACAGCAATAAATACAGTAACTGTTTGGCCGACCGCAACGAGCTGCAGTCGGGAGGCCAACATTGAAGCTCAATAAACCTGATGTCTATGGAGGCAAGGCAGATGTATCTTTAGTGCGGGAATGGGTTTATCGTATAGAGCAGATGTTTGCCGCGGAAGGAGTAAATCTTGGGCATGAGGTGCCAGAGCAAGTAAAACTCCAGTATGCGAGCACGTTCTTGAGTGGTCGTGCTCTGGCGTGGTTCAAGACAGGTTCTTGCCACCGAACTGGCAGACTGAGTGTAGAGAAAAGTTGATGGCGATTAGGCAGACCGGCGCTGTGCGAGCTCACACCGAGAAGTTTCAAGAGCTCTTACTTAATGTATCGAACATGCAGGAAAACAAGGCTATAGCTATATACATCCTACTACGACTGAATTCGGGAATTTGGAATTTTTGGCGCCGAAACTGTGACAATCAATTTTTTTGTGCCGATTTTTGGATTTGGAGAATAAGGACCGAATTTTGGGAAATCTGAGGGACCTTATAAAATAAAATAAACAAACCAATTTAAAAAATATTCAGAATATTATTTGCAGAACAGTAGAAGTGTAAATAGATTTTTATCCGAGCGTTGGACCCTCTGGTCCCTCTCTTAGAAAATTGGACTCTCGGCCTAACCTCATAGAGTTCTAGGATCACTGTATAGTGTATTTATAGTCGTTTAACCTTTCTCTGACACCTGGCAGTTGGCAGTTGGCAGCTCTGCGCACCTAAAAACAGGACAGAACGTATATACTCTCTGGCCTGAAAATTGCACTCACTGAATTCGAGAAGGGCTTTATATATAGGTATAAAGGGTGTCCTTTTTACGTAAAAAGACATACAAAAATTTCACGGCCATCTTGAGTGTCCGTCAGCCTTGTTTTTTCTTTTTCTAGAGGGTCATGAAAATTTATAACTTTTAACTTATTTATGAGGTTAGCTGACTTATTTAGCTCTCGCCTCTCGGCCCTACCTAGCCTTTTATTTTTACAAAATACCGACGAAACAATCATCTTTCATAAAATGCTTGAAAAAGACTCGGTCTAAATAAAACAAGATATTTTGATGAGATCGCTTTCTTTATATCATTGGCTATTGAATAAGGTCTTTTATTTTGATACTTCTTCAAAAACAAAAGCTTATGGGTGAATTTTCAGGGGTGTTCATTGTTTTTAAAACAATCAAGGAGACAATAGTTACAAGAATTAGAACTTTATTTTATTTAAATTCAATTACAATTCTTTATTTTAAAGTCGAAAGCGTCTTCAATTTTAGACCACAGGTATCGATAGTTTAAAGAAGTTTCATTGATTGAATGTTAAGAGTTTACGAATTTCGCAACCATCAAATGATCAAAATCATTCAATAAAATATGCAAACAGTTGTTTAACTCCGGAAATTTACTTGGAATTTGTTCTAAAGTAAGTATTTTCCGATTACTGCATCATTTTTACTCATGTGTTAAATATGTAAGTTGTGATACGCTTACAAGATATTTGTCGAGTAGGTACTTGGTTTAAAAGAAATATCGACATGCCGGAATGTTTTATAGAAACAGTATTCAGAATTCTCGAGAAGTTTTGCATGTATGTACAAATTACGATAACTTTATTGGGTTGAATATAAGTAAACCTGTTTTCGCCTTCGAAAGTTGTATACTTATTTACAGTGTCTTTCACTCACAGATCTGATTATTGATAATTGACGCCTATACTACGAAAAATTAAATATGACCTTCACGGTCTCACAGTCTCACACTGACACACTCTGGTCTAAGACTCAGACTCTCAGTCTCTCACAGTTGCACAGACTCACAGTCTCAATTCTCACAGCGAGTCTCATAGTCCCAGTGACTCAGACTCTCACAAACAGTCTGACAGTCTCACTTATCTCACGACTCACTATGTAGTCACAATTTAGTATTTACTCTTCTATCACAGGTGTCAGCCTGTCTCATGAATGATAAGTGTCAGCAGTCAACCTGTTCCCTTTCAACCTCTCTTATTATTGATGTGTGTATTTTTCTAAAAATACTAAAGACTAAAGAGAAGGAGAGAGAGTACGAGAGCCGACGGTGAAATCAGAGAGACTTTTAAGTTTTAACTCTTATGATGAGTCTGAACTCTGAAGTCTGAACTCTGATGACCCTCTCTTGTTGCTTGTACAGTGTACACTGTACACAGATACTCTAGCTCTCCACTACTAGAATATAATGTGTAAATTGTAAAGTATTTGCGAAGTTATGCGAGTACAAATTGCAAGACATTTTTATTGGGTTGGATACAGGGGATATTTTTTAAAAGCAACTGACAAAACCAGTTTTCGTTTTGATGTTTTCTTTAGATTCATTAGAGCCTTCCACAGACCACAAACCACAGTCACAGTGGTACTAGGTTGTACCATCAAAGAATAACTATAAACAGACAAAAATATTATAGCTGACCAACACCACACGATGCCGCAGAGTACACAATCAAATTGCAGCGAGGCATTTCGGCGAACACACACTTCGGTTGGCCACAGATCGACGCTCAGGATGGCTATATCGCACTACAGAATGGAAAAGAACAAGAAAACTGGATTGCTGACAAACCAATTTGAACCGGAACACTACGCGCTAGAGACCAAAGAACGCTCACGAAGTGTGTACCACAAAATAGTGAGCTGCATTTCGAACTGTAGAAAGCGAAGAAATGGCCCACAAGAGTTGATCGTTCTTCTCAATCATACTACAGAAACAAACACCAACCGAAGTCTTTATGCGTTTAGGTGACTGATTTCTTCAGCTGATGTTTTCAATTCCACCAAGAGATATCTGGAAGAGTACTCGGAATGCCTTATATTTCGTCGATACTTTACTGGAGGTTGTTGAGAATTTATATACCCTATTAGTGAAAATAAATAAATAATAAACACACAATGGCGTCTGTTTGCAGAACATAGTGTCGCACATCCTACCTGTCGAGATTGATTTGATTAGGTTTTAGCAAAAGAATATTTCTCGAGAGGGTCATGATCGGTTTAAACAAATTTTGTTATGCTCTGTTCCGTATACGCAGCGCAAACTGTTCATATCTGCATGTGAAGCTAGCACCGTATTAAATGAGATTCAATAATCTCTAGTATGTCCCGTTTGTTCAGTTTGGATACAATTAGCATTCAATTTTGTGAGAAGTGGCATAAAGTGCGGCTTGAGTCCGAAACACACCGAGATATTAGCAATTCTGATACGTCGTCTCACTACTGGTTACATAGCTAACCACATATTCTACGACACTGCATAACAACGATGTATTGTAAGGTCAGTCAAACCGCTAAATATCCTTTCACCGGACAGTATCTGCAGCACAGCAAGACAACCATTAGAACTATTGTCGCTGCGTGCGAATAGCAATAACGTCCCACTGCGACCTGAACGATCTAACTTGTAATGGTTTGGGATCAGTGAACCCAATTTACTATGTGCGCAAAGTTGACGTGACTTTAGAGCCGACTGTACCCGGCAGACTCGCCGAGTGGCCCATGCCCTCAATTTAAAAAACGGTGCATCGTGTTCGTATTATTGTCTATTATTTTAAAATTTAATCTATCCAAGTTTACTCTTAAGTGCAGTTCATTCGTGGCCACTGCTTATTCGATTAGCTCTAGTGACTAATCGTCAACGTCGGAATTAACATCATCACCGGTCATCTGTAGCGGGAAATTTAGGGTATTGAATAAAGATATGTGTGCAAAGTGTTTCGGACGTCCTGATCTTTGTATTAGACTGCTTGCTCGACTGAAAATGGTTTTACTTACCACACCCCGGAACAATAGAAGAGTTTCACCCCACACAAAATATAGACGACAATCATTGTACACGATAGAAGCACTACAACACTATCAGATACAAAGTAAAGAAATCAACAATGGTGAAGAACCGCATAAGAAAGAAGAAGCGTCGCGCAACGGGCTGGCAGACATATGTGTAACACACAATTAGGAGTCATACATGTGTTTACAGATCCTAAAACCTATCGAATCGATTTTTCCAAGCTTTCCAAGGGCTCGCATTCGTATATACATATATCATACCGTCGCGACACCCAATGCGGCTGCCTGTGCGGATTGTCCCGTTTCCAAACCGGTACGGTCAATCGCTACGAGTGGTCGGATGGCCTTAGCTATGCTGTGGAACATGTGTGGATGCAGCAACTCAAGAGAACCTAGCACCTGCGACATGAGGATAAACACAAAACCCATTTACTAGGACTTTAGTCTCTGGCATATTACATGTAAAAATCGATGTCTAAAATAAAAATATATATGAACGATACAGTGTAGAGTTCTGATCTTTCCAAGCGACGCCATTGATCTGAAGAGTATACAGCGACTCCCGAGTATAATATCCTCAACTCGGGAAGTACAAGCAAAACCCACAATCGCACAAGGGACTCATGGTGGTAGGTAAAGCAGTACAGCATACATCGTCCGATCTCCAGTTGACAACGACAGTGTGTCGAGTTATGTGTGTGTCTACTGCATATCAATACACGCACACAGGCACATATATACAATACACGTACACGGGCACATATATACAATTCACGTACATAGGCACATATATACAATACGCGTTCACAGGCACATATACACCTGCACGTGCATATAATTGGATATGCCTCTCACGCACCTGTTTCATGCGCATTCGTTCCGTGGGCTCGGAGAAGCACGCGGGGCAGTTCTCGTTGATGATGGGCAAGCCTGAGGTGTCCGCGAATTCTCTCAGGTCTCTTTCACGGATGTTAACCATAGGCCTGATCATCCGTAGATCACCCGCGGTCACGGTGTAGTTGGCCTTCATTGTACGGCACATGCCTAATTGGAGTGAGCGTAATTAGAAATAGATACGAAAGCTGGTGTATGTGTACGACGCCGTGGCATTTGGCCATCACCATAGAGATGGATGGAGAAACAATCATGGGTCGCTTATATATATATATATATATATATATATATATGTGTGTGTGTGTGTGTGTGTGTGACTGGACATGGCAAACGTTACCGAAAGTTGCTGATTTGTAGACTGCATGAGAATAGATATGGTCTTGAAATTGATACCAATGATGGCAGTGTAACTTTTTAGATCAACGGTAAGAATAGTACTCAGATATTGCTCTTCCAGAATGCCTCCCAATCAGGTACAAGCAGATCCTTGCCAACGAGTATGATAGAAACAACGATTCGTATACCTTCAGCGTCTCAACCGAAATAATACCAGGCCTAGATGTAAACCCTATCGACGTACTACTTTTAGAAAGGGATCCTAATATATATTCAACAATCCTATTGACAGACATTTTCAAGAGGCATAGAATACCACATACCGTTGACATGTCGTTCCATATACATCTTGCACCTTAAAATCGCCATATTCGGCATTAAACAATCAGTCATGAATAACGTCTATAAAAGATAATACAAGTGTTCAGAATACGTAGGCACATTCCAGCACGACTGACGTGTATATGACAAAAGAACAGCTCGAACTTAATTGTCAGCAAGCTACTATATTTTGCACACATGTATGCACCGATAATACACATAGGCATACACATAAGACACAAAATACAAACACAACAAACAAACAAACAATATAGGTTTATATAGATATTCATATATAGATATTCATATATATAGATATATATATATAGATGTATAGATGTATATATATATATATGTATATATATATATACATATATATATATATAATCTGCAGCCTTCGCGTGTACCACACATACCATTGAACAGCACCGACATCATAAAACTCTCTGCCAGATCATCCAAATGTTGGCCAAACGCGAGTACATTGTAACCATTTTTGCGAGCGCATGTGTACAGCATGCCTCTCTTCATTCGCGCGCAGTACGAACAGAGCGATGTCGGGTCGATATTGGCCGCTTGCGCAATTAAGTCCTGCGACACAACAGCAATCGTGATTTGGTTAGCATAGACACCTGTGAGAGTTTCTTATAGTATACCGGTGAAGAGATGTGAAAGAACCCTTCTAGAGGAGTGGCTACAAGCCAAATCGGATTGTATATACTTCTGAAGCTAGAACGTGGCCTTAAAAGTCACCGGTCGATGCGAAAGCTCAGACCGAAAATTTAATTCACAGTTGTACAACAATAATAGATCTATATGTATATATGCATAAATTTTATATCTTATTCAACATATACATATACATATACATATACATACATACACACACACACACACATATATATATATATATATATATTAACATATATATATATATATATATGCGTGTGTGTGTGTGTAGAAAACTATT